GTGGGAGATGGAAGCATTTTACCTATTCGCACAACTAGGGATGTGTGAGTTCCACTAGGAAGAAAGTCTCTGCTCTTGAAGAATGCGTGGTATGTTCCAAAGATAGTGAAGAATCTGGTTTCTGTAGCCAGGCTTATGGATGAAGGTTTGGATGTCAATTTCTCCAAACATCAATGTCAAGTTCTTGCAAATGGTCGTCCATTACTGCATTTTCCCAGATGTGGTAACCTGTTTGAGAAGGAGATAGCTTCTGGAGAAAAATCGAACGCTCCTGAGATATGCATGACTGTAGATAGTTCTCTCTGGCATTCTCGACTTGCACATGCCAATCCCTCTCTCATGAGGTGTATGCAGAAGCAGGAGCTTGTGGATGGCTTCAACGACCACATTTTTCAAAGTTCAGCAAAATGTCACACTTGCATTCTTGGCAAGCAAACCTGTCATACTTTCAAACCTACTATGATCAGAAGCACTCATCCCTTGCAGCTCATTCACTCAGATGTTTGTGGACCCATGCGACTGTTTGCTCAGAATGGTGCAAAGTATTTTGTGATGTTTACAAATGATTTCTCCAGGCACACGAACGTCTTCTTTCTTCATCACAAAGATGAAGTCTTCAGCAAATTCAAGCAATTCGTAGCAGAAGCCGAAATGAAAACTGGTTAGAGGGTTGGTTGTTTATGTACTGATTTAGGAGGGGAATACGTCAACAAGTCCTTTCAGCAGTTTTGTGTTGAACAAGGAATTCTTCATCAGCACTCTTGCTCTTATACCCCTCAATAGAATGGAGTCTCTGAGCGCAAGAACAAGACAATCATGAACGCAGTTCGGTGCTTCCTTCAAGAATCAGGACTACCAAAATTCCTCTGGGCTGAAGCAGTTGGATCAGTTGTGCACATTCAAAACCTTCTCCCTCATTCTTGCAATCCCAACAAGATCCTAGAAGAGCTTTGGACTGGTCAAAGACAATCAGTGGTGCATCTCAAGTGTTTTGGTTGTTTAAGCTTTGCAAAAAGGGTGGATGAGCATCTCGGCAAGTTGGAGAGCAGAAGCAAGCCAGCCTTTCTTATTGGATATGATTCCAATTCAAAAGGATATCGCCTGTACCAGCCTGGTAATCATCAAATTTTTGTAAGCACTGACGTTCGTTTTGATGAAGGAACACTCTACAAAGATCGTGTTCAAGAAGTAGGAAGCTTAGATCAAAACATGAACTAGACTCCAAAAGAATGGAGTTGGGATGGTGTTGAAGACAATGATGAAGATGACGATGATTTGACAATCATCTATCCCTCATCTCCTTCAGCAGACAACCATCCAACACCAGTCTCTGGATCTTTTTTCCTAAAGAACAGGGCGCTGCTACTCATTGTGCATGAACTGGAGAAGTCGACAGGCTCACACGTGATCTACTATTCAACATGGAGAACTATGGGCAGAAATCATTTGGACGATCAAGCAGAGCACCTCATCCTAAGTAGTGGTCTTTTGCAGCAACAGAAATAGCTTCTAAACCAATCAACTTTGAGCAGGTGATTCAAGCTCCTGATGTAGATAAGTGGATTTCAGCAATGCAAGATGAGTTGAATTCTCTTGATGAGAACCAGACTTATGACTTGGTGGAAACTCCTGAAGGACATGAAGTTGTTGGATCATGCTGGGTGTTCAAGCTTCACAGAAATCCTGATGGATCAGTATAGCGCTACAAAGTAAGACTTGTTACTCAAGGATATTCACAAGTTCCTGGAGTGGATTTTGATGAGACGTTCTCACCAATTGTGAAGCAAACAAGTATTAGAACGCTTCTGGCTTTTTCAACGGAGTTTGGTTTGTGCGCACATCACATGGACATAAAAACAGCCTTCCTTAATGGGAACTTGAAGGAGGAGATATTTATGCGGCAACCCCCAGGCTTTGAGCTTTTCGGATCACGGTGCTCCAAACTCGTCAGTGTAGCGCATGTGATCATGGGATGAGATTTGGATATACTGTCACCGTGGATCCTTGGAACCTTGGGGGATAAGTGGGGATAAAATAACCACTAAGGGCTCTCTCATCAAGCAATTGCCCCTTTTCCAGTTGGCTTAAGGGGAGAGAGATAAGGTGTGCTACAGTTGGTATCAGAGCAAATGGCACGGGTTCAATTCCCATTGATTAGTGGCTACTTAAAATATAATATACCCTTGAGCAAGGTATATTCCTACCCCTAAATTTGAAATCGTACGTATTGGGCATCCATGCGTACGTCCTTCCTCTTGTGTGGAGTATCCACAGACGAAGGTATCCACCGTGGGACTGCGGTACGGGTGGATGACTAGTTGCCTCACATGGAATAACTGGTCTACACCCTCACATGGAATAACTGGTCTACACAATGGAAGGATTGGTAGATTGAGTGCGGAAATGGAGGTGCTGGTTCCCCTTGGCTCAGTAGGGGTTGCTAGTCAATAGTCAATGAGGACATTGACATCTCTGAAGAGGGTACAACCCCTAGTCAATAGTCAATGAGGACATTGACATCTCTGAAGGGGGGGTGAGTGTATGGGATGAGATTTGGATATACTATCACTGTGGATCCTTGGAACCTTGGGGGATAAGTGGGGATAAAATAGCCACTAAGGGCTCTCTCATCAAGCAATTGCCCCTTTTCCAGTTGGCTTAAGGGGAGAGAGATAAGGTGCGCTATAGTCTGCAAGCTTTGCAAGGCTCTTTATGGCCTTAAGCAGGCTTCCTGTCAATGGTATGAATGTTTGGATTCTTTTCTTATGGATCTCGGTATGCAGAGGTTGAACAGCAATGGAAATCTATATCTTCTTCAGCAGGGTGATCACTTTGTTGTGATAGCAGTTTATATGGACGACTGTTTGATTGTCAGCAACAATGACACTGTTTTGAAGGATGTGAAGATCAAGCTTATGGACAGGTTTGTGATGAAGGACTTAGGAGCTGTGCGGCAGCTGTTAGGGATGGAAGTTGACAAGGATGAAGCAAACAGGACAATCACCCTCACACAGTGCTAATATGTGAAGAAGCTTCTCAACCAGTTCAACATGACAAGTTGCAAATCCGTGGCTACGCCAGTCATCATTGGCATCAAGTTCACAAGCAAGATGGATGATTTATTTGATTAGCCCTTAGTCTACCAATTGCTTGTTGGAGGACTACTCTACCTCGCCAACATAACTCACCCCAACATCTCCTTTGCCGTTGGTCTCCTCAGCCGATACATGCAGTCTCCAAGTTGTTATCATTGGTAGATGGCGAAGAGAGTTTTGAGGTATTTGAAAGGAATAGCTGCTCATGGACTGGTTTACAAATGCTCAGGTCAGTCCAAACTTGTTCTTCAAGCTTACTGCGATGCAGATTGGGCTGGCAACTTGGATACACGACATTCAACCTCCGGAATTTGCTGCATAATTGCTGGTGCTCCGGTTTCATGGGGAAGCAAGAAGCAAACGACGGTTGCTCTTTCCAGTGCAAAAGCAGAGTACGTAGCTGCCAGTACAGCAGCAAAGGAGATCATTTGGCTTCGTCAATTACTTGGAGAACTCAATCAACAATAATCAGATGTGACCATTCTGCATTGCGACAGTAGAAGTGCAATTGCCATGTCAAAGAATCCTGTGTTTCATGCTCGTACAAAACATATAGACGTGCAGCATCACTTCATTCGCAAACGTGTAGCAGCTGGAGATCTTCACCTGGAATACATTCCTTCACAGTATCAATTGGCAGACCTTCTAACCAAGCCACTTTCGGAGCTCACATTCATCAAGCTAAGGAATCAACTTGGAGTGTCAAGCACCCTCAGCTTGAAGGGGGAGTGTAAGAATAATGATGAACACAACAAGCAAGACGATTCATATCAAAAGTAGTCTTCATATCCAAGTCTTGTGATTTCCGATTTGATTGAAGTTGTATATATATATATAGCCATATATGAATCAATGCGTGTGTTGAAGTGAAATCCATTGTTCTTGCTCCGCTTTTCTTTCAGTGGCCCCATTTGCAACCCTGTTAACCAGACTTGTGATGGCGATCTAGGAGATACCACCCTTTCTTGCCCAATTCCCGATTGTGAGCCCGCCCAAGAGCGGGTAAAATGCACAATTCAGCACCCCCGTTTATTTAGGGTGGCACTATTTGCTTATTTAGATTTACATGCCACTTCATTACTTACACTTCATTATTATAAATTAAAGATTCTCAATAAGATAAGAAATACTATCTGAGCATGATTTATATATTCAGAATGCCACCGCCCACAACCAGGTATCAGTACTTCACTTGCTCGCTGCAAGAGCAACCTCTTAGTTTCACGGCTTTCTAAGAAGATGGGCACCACATGGGCGCCCGCGGACTTTGGATTCTCAAAGCTCATCGACAAGGACAAGACTCACGTTGTGACGGTGGGATACATGGCTCCAAGTGGCTCCATTCTCGTGTCACGGACAAGACCGACGTGTTCCAAAACCCCTCCGGAGATCATGGGGGTATGGTGGAATCTTTGGTTCCAACCTGAAGTGTGCCGGGATTCGCGACAAGCGGCACCCCACGATGCTATAGCTATGGAATCGGCCTCCTGGTGTTTGCAGCATAAAGGCCGTGGAGTGTTCCTTGGACTCGGACTCGCAGATGGACGTCGTGTTGCTCGCCCAGACCGCTTTCAACAAGCTCCACAATGGAAACTCCGTAGTCTACAACCAACTGCTCAAAGCCGAGGATGGTTTCTTTGAGTGGCTTTTGAGTACATCGTCCAGATCGGGCTATGATCAGGAGGATCCCTTGCAGCGACCAGTTGTGATGAAGCTTCTCGAGGGTGCCATGGATGTGTTGGCGTTCCCTCAGCTGGAGAGACCTGCTGCACAGGCTTCGTCCCTCCTCATGAGCAGCAGTGCAAGTTCAGGAGTATAAATCTCTATCTCAGACTTGGCTCGCTAAAAAGGCGTTTTTACAAACAAGGAAACTTTGCAAGAAGAATTTATTCCATAGCAGGTGGTAGAAATGCTTGTGCAAGATAAAAAATACTTATTTTCTTTTTAGTAAAGCATATATAAGAGAATTTGTTTCCAACCAAATACTGTTTTAATTACCCACCGTATTTGTTCTTGTAGTCAGTCCACAAATCCTGTACGCTCTTTCCAAGCAAATCACTGAACACAGACTCACTCCACGCACCATTTGCAAGCCTCGCATTTATCTGCCACACAAAATCTCCCCGGAGGCTATTGCAGTAATCAAAGAAATAGGCAGTAACATCGTAGCCCTGGTCCCAGCGATCACCACCGCCCGGCTTCACCCAGTGAGATGGAGCGAGCCCGGCTTTGAGCCGGACATAATCAGCCACTCCTTCAGTCACTCCACTGGGAGTTCCTTGCCCAAAGTACTGCCAGACGTGAGCCATCTCGTGGTATATTACCCCTTTGATCCCCTCGTAGTTATCGGCAGATGGAGCATTAAATTGGATCTGGAACTCGCCGGGACTGCCCGTCCCAAATGTGATAGCAACCGCACCCTGCTGGAGCTGCTTCTCGACCGTGAAGACAACCTTTGTCACTAGTTTTGTGGGAACACCGTCGAGACCATAGTGCAACAGCGACGGGATGAAGTTGATTGCATCGCCCAGGACTTTGAAGGCCCCGGAGATCCCCATCACCGAGTTGAAGCGCTTGCCACCGTCGGTGTCCTCGGCATTGTTTGCTCCGACGAGGGCAATGTCTGCATGGACACGGGACGTGATAACGAGAACAAGGGACAAGCAGCTCAAAAGACGTGCAGTGGAAACTCTCAGACAAGTTTGCGTCATTGTTGATCGCAAAAATCAATATCGTATGACGAACTGAGAGAGTTAGGGGTTTATGTATGAAGTGTTTGTACGCGGTTATGGCTGCGAAGTCAACGTCTTTTTGACTACGCGGATTTGGCTTCGACGCGGCACTATACGACTGCAACATGGAAAAATCCGTGAGCCCGGGTTGACTTCTAGTGTGCGTGATGACCAACTACACCACCCAGACTGTGACACTAAGTTAACTCATTTACAATGCGAAAACAGTTGGAGTCAAGTATTTCTGCTGATTACCTTTATTATTTTAGAAGATATTAATACCAGAATATTAGAGTCACTAAGCTGATTTCTTTTCCAGAGATATTTCTTGTGGGACGTGTTTCAATATGGTGGTGTAAGATTACAGACTGCTGGAGCTGAAGTTAAGGGATTCAGGTGGTCGCAAGCTGAAGTTTCTCAAGCTACCCTCACTTGAAGGTGGTGGCAACTCAAGAACATCTACGCTACCATCGAGCATATCCAATACGTTTCTCATGGAGGGTCGCATTGCTGTTCGGCTTGGATACACCACAATCCAATCTTCAGGTATCTCTCGGCATCCTTGAAATCCAAGCCACTGCTGCTGGCGATATCGTTGTTTAGATTATTGACAAAGAGCTTCTCGTCTATGAGCTCCACAACTTTGCCACTGTAAAACATGCTCAATGCGGCTGTACCTCCTCGCCAAGGACAGGTCCCTGCCTTGGGCATCCAGGCTCTCCATCGCGCTCGACGTTGCCCGGGGGCTCGCCTATCTCCACGAAGGATGCCGCGAGAAGATACTCCATCTAGACATCAAGCCCCAGAACATCCTCCTGGACGAGAAGATGGGGGCCAAGATCGCCGATTTTGGATTCTCCAAGCTCATTGACAAGGAGAAGACTCACATCGTGACCGTCATGAGGGGCACGGTGGGATACATGGCTCCCGAGTGGCTCCACTCTCGTGTCACGGACAAGACGGACGTCTATAGCTTTAAAATCGTCCTCCTGGAGCTTGTTTGCAACATAAAGGCTGTAGAGTGTTCCTTGGACTCGGACTCGCAGATGGACGTTGTGTTCCTCATCCAGACCGCTTTTAACAAGCTCCACAGTGGAAATGCCATGGACTTGGTGGACGATCGGCTGCTCAAAGCCGAGGACGGTGGTGGTTTCTCCTTGAGTGGCTTCGAGAACATCGTCCGGATCGGGCTATGGTGTGCGCAGGAGGATCCCTTGCAGCGACCAACGATGTCTGTGGTGGTGAAGATGCTTGAGGTTGGCATGGATATGTTGGCGTTGCCTCAGCTGAAGAGACCCGGTGCACAGGATTCATCACTTTCGTTTCTATATATTTAGATTCCTCAACGAGAAACCAGAAGGTACTATTTTTTACAAAATTCACAAATATACCATTTTATATAGCTGTATAAATATCAAAACACTCCACACATTGTGTTTATCTACTATTACATGCAAACAAGCTCCATGGATTTCAATCTAAAAACATTAGGATAGCCAAATCCCCATTGAGAATCCCAGAGCCATGCAAGTTAAAAAGAGCACAAGAGAAGTAGGAGATTGGTGACTTTTAGCCATGAATTGAATGCAGTGCTGCTATTGCATGTGATTGGTGATGTTGGAGGAGCTTGTTTCCGCCCATGCTTGGTCTTGTGTGAAAACCATTTGGTGCTAAATGGTTTTCTATCACTCTTGGTGAGCAGCAGCCTTAGTGTCAGACTTGGCTCGCTAGAAATGATTATTGAATTCACCTCCCACAAGCTGGGAAATCACATGCTATCAGATGCATTCTATTACCTCAGCTCCAAAATAAATACTTAGACTAGAATATTTGTATTGACTGGAGTATATTTATGCAGGAGACACTTTTGTGGCTACCATGACTTTCATGAATAGTTATCTATTTAATATGATTGCATGGAATATGGAAATGGAATGCATTAATTAACCCAAAAACTCTAATTTATATATAGGAACGAGTGGTCCAAATTAAAATTAATTCGATAGCTAATATTAGTATACAACATTGACTTCATATCATCCCCTCCTCTTGGAATGATGGAAGACAATCAAAGTTCTATTATGGATAAGCTAGGATCTGGAGGAACATCAAGAGGAGGCATTGGTGCATTTGTAAGTGGTGTTAGTTATTCTTGATCCCTTTGTATAAAGTGTTTTAACTATTACATATGCATAATTTTTGAAGGATCGACCTATTGGATATCATGCTGAACCTCATAAAATTGCCATCTAATTTGCCACAACACCAAATACAGTCCCTTTCACTAAGCAATGATCCTTTTAAACAAATTTTATACTGTAAGATTGGGAAAATGGATTAACATGAAATCATCCACTTTGTATTTTACATATGGATGATGATAGAAGTTGTAGTGCCATTGTTGTCTCATTTGTACATGGCTAAATATTCAATAGACTCTATTTGGATAAGTGGAAGAATGCTCATTAAATCCTTTTAGACAAAACATATACCGTAAGATTAAGAAAACAAACTAATAGGATGCAAAGATTGGTAGCAAGAGTAAGAGTTATACCATATGTCGTGAATGCCACTATAACATTGAGCAATTGCACCAACTGCTATTCCAAAGTCAAAGGAGGAGGAGGTTGTTACTGTACCATGAAGATAAACAAAAAGAAAAAAAGAAAAGAAAAAAATTTGAAAAAGTTATAAGGAAAGGAGGATTTAGACAATGCAAAAGTTAAATCGAAATTAAATTCCCAAATCTAAACACTCCTTAGAGACAATCAAAACTACTTCTCAACTCCACATATGTGAGTGCATAGAATATGGAAATGGAATATAAAAATGTGTATATCAATTAACCCACAAACCCTAGCCTATATACAAAAGTTAATGGTCTAGATTAAAACCAATTCAACAGCTATCAAAACTTTACTTTGATAATATTAGTATACAACATTGTAGCAATACATTGGACCTCATAAAACTAGTATATAAAACACAAAAATCAATAATGATAAATAACCTTTATCAGAAGAGAAAATAGATCCTATACTATTCAAAAACCATTGGAAAAATATTGGTTGACCAAATAAAGCTTAGCATCCATAGCAATGCATGGCTCTTATAAAAGCTTGCTCTGAGGTCATAGAAGAATTCTGTAATCAGCAATACTACATTCAAATTCATGGCTAAAATCACTTATCTTCCGCTCTTTTTAGCTTGCCTGACCAGTGGAGGCACTACTCAATACAATGCTTAGGAAAACATGAAAATCAGGTAACAAATATTATGCACAAAAGAAATTACTGAATCATTTCTAAATTTGTATTCCTTGAGCATCAGATAGTTTAAAGCACTTGGCAGGCACCTCTACTTCATATGTTCTACCTGAAATGTTCCTATATAAGCCAAACTGACTTAACCAATATAATAATAGTTTCTTGAGTAAGATCAATTTCAAAACACATCACATCCTTCTCTTCTCCAGCAGTGACTTCATCCCCAACAAACAAGTCTTGTTCTATGGTAGCATTGGACAATGAATTTTGCAGTTAGAAAGCTAGGTGATACGAACCATAGGAATATTTTGAGAATATTCCATGGCTTGTGGGATTTAAGGCCATAATGCCTTAAGGGTTGGGAGGCTGGGCTAGGGTTTGCTCTCTTGTTCGTTTCATTGGTATCGGAGCAACATGTTCTTTTGGGGATGGCAGGTGAGCAAGACATTGATCCTAATAAGGAGTATGGCGTTAGTAATGATAGCCATAACGATGCAGAAGAGACTCTTAATGATGTCGTTGTGCAGCAAAGATGCCAAATTTCTAAGGTTCAGAGTAACATGAAGGAAGTTAAGGATTCCATCAATCTCATTAAGGATTTCTTGCTCCACATAGACCCTCAAAGGTTGAATCAATCTCATGTTTGTGATTACCATTGGTACATCAAGCATGCCAAGGATTATGGTATTGTGGAATGGAAATCATCACCGGATGTTTGTGATAGTCAAAAGGTTAATTCTTGGTTGGAATTGTGGGAAAGTTGTTGGTCTCACAATCCTTGTAAGGATAAGGTGAAGATAAATTTTTTTGTGATGAAGCTTATGGGCCATGCTTCTTCATGGTGGAAGAACTATATCAAAACTAATCCAAAACCGACTTCTTGGACAAATTTGACGAAGGTTTTCTGCACTTCATTTGTCAAGAAATTTGAAGAGGTTGATCTCATGAACCAGCTATTAGAGATCCGGCAGGGGACATTGTCTTTAGATGTATATGCCCGCAAGTTTGTTTTTTGGCCTCATTACCAACTCCACTCTTCAAACCACAACGGAACAATGGCCGTTTCTTCCCCGAAGGTGAAGTATTGGTTGTTTGGTCATCACGTTGACCTCCCTATAGACCATCCCATTGACTAGAGTTGACCAAGTTAACTAATGGTTTGGGTGAAAATATCTAAGCCTTAGTGATAGCATCAGTCAATGTTGCTGGAAAATCCTTCTTGACCTTCTATTGCACATCCACTAAGCTTAACCCTTTGATAAAACATTGCACCTTTAATAGCTCATTATAAGTGCCCGTGAGACTAAGGTAAAGATCATGATCGTTTAGACTAGCGAGAGAAAGACAAGATGGAGGGCAATTGTTTTCATTGTCACAAGGCTGGATATCACAGCAAGGATTGTCCTCTTATGAAAGGATCAAAGAATGCTAAGGTGAATGTGGTGGAATCCATCGTGGATACAACTTAGGCATTTGCTGTGGTGGCTCTTCCACACCATATGGCAAAAGTTCAAGAATCTAAGTCTCGAGTTCGTATCAACTCTGTAGAGATTGATGGTTCTATGCGCAATCAACTTGTAAAGGCCAAGGGGGACATTCAGGGTAGTGTTGTTAGTATTCTTTTCAATCTAGGTGCTACTCACAATTTTTTGAGCTCCAAGGTGGTGAAGAAACTTTGTTTGCCTGTGGAAAAGAGTTCAGTAATCTACAAAG